CCCCAAAACCCCAAAACCCCAAAACCCCAAGACAATTATAAGTATTTAATATAGAATTAAAGATTCAATAGTTAATAAATATAAATTTGATCTTTATAGTCTATATACTTTGCCCCAGTATGCTAAAAGAGTCAAATTTTAAGCCTCTGCTAGTTGTATTACTTAGCAGTCTTATCTCTAATTGCCAAACATATGAGCAGCACTAGCATAACTAATTCGAGAATACAGATTCTAATCTACATCCTTCTTTTGTGGACTAAAATCTGCAAACTCAAGAATTCAATGAGAGCTAGCTATATAATATAAAACATTCAGACTATAGAACAAACTTCCAAAGTAGACTAGTTAGTAATAATTCTCTGGTGGATGATTATTTACTGCAATTGATTAAAGCCTATAACAAAAGTGAGGACTATTTAGTGTCGTTCAAGGATTAGATAAAAACCCAGGCAGGTAAGATTGTTTAATGGGACTCAGAGTAAGATGAGCGGTATCTCTTTAAAAGTCATTTGTCTATGGTACTCCTGATTTTGTCTTATGGAGCGTTTATAATGTCTGAGATTATATTCATGCACTAGTTATCAAAGTACAAGTCGCTTAAGAGATAATGTGTAAAGCTCAGAGATATATCACAAATTTGGCCTGAAAATGAAAATAGGATAGTATACTTGCAAGGCATCGTAAATTATGATAGAAATCCTGCAATTCACGAAGATTACTTTGGCCTTTCTATAGATTCACCAATACTTAAGAGAGAAGTTATGATGCTTCAATGGCAAGAGATATAAGAATGTAAAAGCCCAATGCTACTGTCAAGTCTACAGTCTAAATAATCTCAGAGTAATTTCACTTATCTGGCAGTTTGGTCATAGCATATAATAGACAGCTCATAATTTAATCTTGAAAATCAGATATATTATTCTAATCCTCCATCATTTGGTTTTATTAAGACCTAGACATTTACTCCCAAAGCAATTAAAATAGGTGCCTTCACATTCGATTCTAGCTTTATTCTTAGTAATTTTTCTGGCAAATAGGCAATGGCACATCTTAAAGACGTTGAAAGTTACTTCACACTAGGATTTAAACCTGCTTTAGATTACAAAGGCTCCTGGATGATAGATAAGAAAGGAGATACAATTACTAGATAAGCTCACGAAAACAGAGAAACTATTGGCGATATGAAAGTCATGTTTTACACTCTAAAAGAGTAGTCTTCCATTAAAGAGGATAGAAAACTGGTCATGAGCATAATTGGAAAGTAGGTTGGTAATTCTATTGCAAATGATGATCACCTTATGATTAGCATTGGTAAGAAGTCCCTGAAATAAATTATTCATGAAGAGCAGAGACCAATTCAAAAGAAGTAATACAAAATTAGACTAGCAATCTTATTCTGTATCTTCCTGATTTAATACTCTGTCCTCATTGATCTGATTAGATTATTTTTCGGAGATCCATATTCAAAGGAGGGAAAAAATGGAATTGTGTTAACCATAGGTGGAATATGTGCTAGTGCTTTTGTCTGTGCTACTTTTACAATTATAGCTATAATTATTGAAGCATTAGTTTGACTTGATTTCAGACTAAACTATTTTAGATTTTCAACCTTCGGGGTTTTGGGGTTTTGGGGTTTTGG